AATGGGCATCTTATAAATGAGTTAGTTGTGGTGATTTAACCTTTTTCAAGAAACAAGAACAGCATCAAAAGCTTTATGGTGGAATACAGCCACAGCTCATTATTCATGCTTGTGCTATTGTAACTATGCATAAGTTATTCAAACAAGGAACACTTAATCATTCATTATGGAACAGAATCCCTGCAAAAACACATGAATGACCACCTGGGCAAATTGTACAATCTCTGCAATGAAATGGCTTGCATGAGCCAAATAGCCTTCCTTTTTGTACTCTCTAATATTCATAGACTGTTTTCTCTGTAGAACATTTATGCGAAAAAGAGCTTGTAACCTTAATTGTCATCCCCTGTAGTCACTTAGCTTGCAAACAAATGTTCAAATAAGATTAAAGTCATGAAATGGTAACATTCTTGTGTAGTTCTTTAATTACCCAATTGATATATAGGACTGGATCTTGCATAGCTTTGCTTGTGGGGTCCAGAGGAGGTTGAATTGTGCATCTGCTCTGGTTAGTCCAACTAGAACTTGGTCACTATGTTTTGAAAGGAGTTAGGAAGCAGACTAAGGCATTGGGTGTACATTTATTGTGGGCTGGGTTGGTGCTAGGAACTAAATTTGATTTAAAGGTGGAAAAAGAAATAAATGAAAAGACAGTTAAAACCATAGCAGAACCCAGATAGACCAAGGTAAAGGGTACAGATGGAGGTAACGCAGGCAGAGAACAGATGTTAGCCTCTTTAAATTGAGACCGTGGCACCTTAACGTAATTCTACTGAAATGGAATTCCTGAAACAATTTTGAGGATTTTCCCTTCCATCTGGAAGTCTTTTCCATCTGCTGATGTCTCTGCGTGAAGGATAGTTATAGATTTTTATTGGTAAATTCCTGGCCTAAAATTAACACTATTATCAAAAATGTTTTGCAGTTCAATTTGAGCACAGATGTGGAAAGGTTATAGTAGCTGTATGTTCACAGATTTTGTTTTGCTGCAAGTTATTGGATAAACTTGTCACTTTAAGGAGAAAAATAAAATTGAATGTGGAACTTTTTATTGTTATTGGTAAATAAAACAAACTAAGGAGAGATTCAACCAATGATGATGAAGGAAAGGCAATTTATTAATTAAGAAAATTCAAATTGGCAGACTTTCCAGTCACAAGGTAGACAACAGAAAAGGCAAAACAACAAATGTGATAATAAAAATAACATATTATTTTAACGCAGTTGAGCAAAAAATGGTAATGTATTCATGTTCTTTTTCTGGAGTAGTCTTTCTCATTGAACACTTCTGACTTTTGACTAACATTTGGGAGCAAATGAGTTATTTGCTTAACTTGAATTAATCAAATAAATTGGCACACTACTTTATTTTACATTGAGATACAAATTTAATGCAATTAAGAAATTATTCTAATGATGATGAGGAGGAAATGATTTTGCACATTAAAAAATACTTTACTCCAGGATATGTAAGATTAAAGAGCATCAGTTGGAATAGTGTCTATGTGTTGTCTTGTGAAATTCTCTTTGTTAGTTTCTGCAAGTAGATATCTTGATGGCTGTTTAGAACCCAAAGTAAACTGAGCTGAGACAATCTTTGTTTATTGGCGATCTCCTGGTCTGAAATATACTCAAAACAGAAGCATGCATTCAAACCAGCTAAATTAGGCATAAACGCTAAGGAACCTGAGCTTGATTTCTTTGAAAAGGAGGAGACTTCAAGGTGACTTAATTGAAGTTTGAAGATTATGAAGGAAAATTAAAATATTCACTGCAATGAAATATTCTAACACCAAGGAACATAATGAGGAACTTAGGATGAACTTTTCCACCCAAAAGGTAATGGTGTTTAATAAATTGTCAGAGAAAGCCATTAATGCAAATAGATTCAAAAGCCTGTTAGATACATTTCTGGAGAAAAAAGGGGGCTGAGAATTCCAAAAAGAAGGCAATATTTGAAATTGTGAGCATGATTTTGATATTTTTTTAGGTTCAGTGATGTTGGCTACTCCCGCAAGTCGTCTGAGATCCCAGACTAAATAATCTTTTCCTGTACAAGGAATCTAACAATAGGACTCCCTTGTGTCTTTCAGAAATAGCAGGTTATTAATCTGTTATCTTAGCAGAAATGCTGCAGGTAGTGCTGAGTGACTCAGGATAGTTCTGCACAGATCGATGTGGTCAGGCAAAGTAATACTCCTAAAGAACTAGAGAAAATAAAAAAGACATAGAAATCATTGTTGAAGTAAATTAAAATATTTCTAGCCCTCCTCCATTCAACAGAACAGAGCTCATTCTCAAAAGCTAAAACTGCACAAAATCAGCATTTTATCTATCTGTTACTTCCCAGAAAGGTAAAACAAATGAACAGTAGTTTAAATCTGTTGACCAGATTGCAAAGGAGTTTGTACAAAAGCAACAACAGTGGATGCTAAAAATCTGCAAACAAACAGAAACTAGGACGATAAGGCTTTATCTGAAGAGAGAGAAACTACAGATCTTTCATCAGAACAAGCAAAATTGAAGAAGTAACAAAACTTAAGCAAGTACAGAGACAGGGAAATGGTGGGAGAAAGGTAAGAACAAAATGGAAAGTCTATGATAGTGTAGAATGCTGGCAAAATTAAATGTGGAAAGAGACAATGATGCAATACAAAAAGGTTGGTAATGGGACAGATCGAAAAAGAAAAAATATTCTAGAAGAGGCGCAAATGGCAACCCCGGAGTTATTATCAATACCTGCTATCCAAAGCTCAAAAGAACCTCAAGGAACAGCATGTCATCCTTCAATCAGATAGCCTTCTGGACTCACTGTTTCAGTATTGCTCAGAAAGGCCATATTTTGTCAAAGTCTTTTATCTAGCTCTCATCGGGACAATTTGCAGGACAGAAAGAACATGTGCTCTCACTGCGCCTATTTCAGTGCAACAAAATAGGTGACAGTCATTCTCTAGTCAATAAATGTGGAGCTGGAAAAGCACAGCAGGTCAGACAGCATCCAAGGAGCAGGAAGGTCAATGTTTCGGGCCAAAAGCCTTCGTCAGCACTGGGAAGGGGTAGGGGAGCCCAGAAATAAATAGAGGGAGAGGGTGGGTGAAATGGAGATAGGTTGATGCAGGTAAGGGGTTATTGTGGTTGGTCAGTGGGAAGGGTAGAGCTGATAAGTGAGTGGTCGGGGCTAGCTACACTGGAAGCCACACTCAAGACCAACAATATACCTACAGGAACAGCATCAGAAAGATTATACATGCCCCGACATACTCATCACACTACCCTACATCAGGAACACATCAGAACTCACCACAAGACTTCTACGACCGCTGGGCATCAGAGTGGCACACAAACCCACATCAACCCTATGACAACTGCTCACCCGAACTAAAGACCCACTCCCCGCCATGGACAGGACCAATGTCATCTACAAGATCCCCTGCAGAGACTGCGAGAAACACTACATCGGACAAACAGGAAGGAAACTAACAACAAGAGTACATGAACACCAACTGGCTACAAAAAAAACGACCAATACTCACTCATCTCAATCCACACGGACAAGGAGAACCATGACTTCGACTGGGACAGGCTAGACAGAGACAAGCACGAGAATTCCTGGAAGCATGGCACTCCACGAAGCAGGCTATTAATAAACACATTGAACTCGACCCCATATACATTCCACTTCGGAGGAAACCCGGAAGTGAGGCAATCCATCGCAACGGACCCCAGAGTTTAAAAACCAGGTGGGAAAACACACCGACGCTTCATCAGAGGCTGCACTGAGGACGTTACCAAGCACAGTAACGAAACGTCTGCGGAACAACAAACCACATGGCACCCTCTTAGGTACAAAGAAATAACGTTAAAATGTCAAACATTACAGTACTTTTTGAGACATGGGCCTGCAGATGCTTCCAAGCTGGGTTTCCCCAAGAGGACTCGCTCTCCCCCACGTTGGGCTCAGACCCACCCGGGCATGCCAGCTTTACCACAGCTCACAAGGCTTCGGCCCTGACTGCCATTGCTGCTATCCCTCACCACTCCCACCTTGTCACTGACCAACGCTACTGCCAGCTTTCACCACCTCACTTCTGCTGCCATCCAGGCTCACATTGGGCCCAGCCGCCATCTCTCCCTG